CTCTCTACTACTATATATATATATATATATATATATATATATATATATATATTTATTTATATATATAAACGAATGCATTAAAAGGTATGTACTGTAGCAGGGTCCATCTTGCCATCTACTCAAGGCACATTAAGCAAATGTTCGAATTATTTTGCAGCCGCGATCTCTTTTAATCAGAAGTATTAAACTGTATTCCATGTATTCTTCAATATCTTACTTACGAAGATACCTTGGAAGAAAAAAATGATACAGCCATGCCTTAAAATAAAAGCCAAGACGTCAAATGTGTTGTTAAGATTCTATTACCGTGAAACAGGCGATTGTTAAATATACCAAATATGGCAAATAGTACATCTCTGTTTTTTTTATTTTATTCTCAAGACTGTTCCAGTTCAACAACGCATAAGGACCGCAACTTCCTGACCTGCCAAAACAACGAGGCCGACATTGAAACAGGAGAGTGGAGTGGCAAAACGACTCTTTCAGCTGCCAACAACACAGCCTGCCTGACCATGAGGCTCAAACGAGATCCCACCTATCACTACTCCACAACCATCTCTCCCTGTCTCATCCTGATCATCCTCATGATCATCACCTTCATCATGCCCATTGATAAAGGCGACAGGATTGGATTCGGCGTCACCTTACTGCTGTCCATGGTGGTGTCGCTGGTGGTGGTCACAAGTTTCCTGCCAGTTTCCAATAGCCTGCCATTTATTGGTAATCCCCTTATCACACATTCAGGATCGACTTTGCTCCCGAGCACCATATCCTTAGCATGTATTTTAAATAGGTGGTGGAGGAGGTTCTTTCCATCGTCTAAAAGACGAGCGAACGTCAATATTCTTCGGAACCCTTGAACCTAACCTCCTCCCCTGGCCACGGACATGCGAACACCAACAGTTCGGCTAATTGATAAGGTTTGATAGCTGTCTGACCAGATTTAGGCCACGCCTACTTTTACATACGATATGAGTCAGATTCGACCACAAACACGAAAACTACCGATTCACACCCGAATCGTTGACCGACCATGTTTAGGCCTCTCGACAAATCCGCGAGGTTTCAAACATTATGAAACGTCTGCCTTGCGCAGCCGAATTGTAGCCAACATCACCGAACACCAGCCAACCTACTCCCAACCATGGTTGAGGGGCGTTCGGCTGGTGTTCGGGGAGCCAAATTCGTTAATGTTTGACATTGTCTTTAGAGGTAAAATGTTTATGAGGCCGTGGAATGTTAGAAGTTCTTTTTTCTTCTCTTCCAGCTTTGCTGATTATTGTGTGCATGGCTCTGATGGCACTCTTCATGCTGACGACGCTGTTCATCATCATCATCCACGACAAGAAGGGACCCGTTCCAAAATGGGTACGAACGGTATTCCTGAAGCACGTGGCAAGGTATGTCAAAGATTCAAATACAATACATGATAAATATAATGGAAAACCATAATATTGACCTTACTGGCCAGGTACGACAGGTCCCGTTCGGGTGATAATGTAAATTATAATATGGCTTATATGAGACCGTTGCACTGGCATCTAGACTAGCTTTATTTTATTATTTTGTCTTAGGGCCCTACTGATGGGAGACTTGACCAAGAATCTGAAAGATGAAAAGACAACAAAATACACCATACGCAAGAACGCAACAGACATCGAAGGACACAACAACGACGCGATGAAGATGGACGACGATGGCTCACCAAGCGGAGGAGACGACCCACCCATCGTCGTCATCAGGCCGGGGATGCAAAATGAGGTCGCAGCTACCCTGGGTGGGTTACAAGGAAGCGTAGATGACTTAAAAGTCAGTGTTAGGCAGCTGTCTGGGAGCATTGATGCTCTGGCAAAGGCAAGTGGTGGTGGTGATGACGATGAAGAAGTTGGGGAGTATGCTTTGTTTGCCAGTGTGTTAGACAGGCTGAGTTTGGTCCTTTATGTCATCGCTATTGTTGTGGCCATTCCATGCACTCTGCTTATTGGTCGACCACGTATTAGCCCTGACTAAGAGAGAGAAAGAGAGAGAGAGAGACACATACACAAAGAGAGAGAGAGAGAAAGAGAAGAGATAGGCACGCAGACACATGCAGAGAGAGAGAGAGAGAAAGAGAGAGAGAAAGAGAGAGAGTGTGTTTTGTTGCTTAATTTTGAATGCAACCTGTTTCTTTTCATATTGTCTGGTACTTAGGTCAATACATGGGTCCACAATATACCATTCTCCCTTACAGAGCTATCTGCACCAAGTTAGATAGATCTGTGATGAAGAATGAGAATAATTAAAAAATGTATATGCCGCGCGCCGCATGAATTCAAAAGAAGAAAATGTTTTATTAAGATTCACAATTGCAGTTTATGTTGGCCTGTTACAATGATGACCAAAAAAAATCTGCCTAAAAGAGGTCAGTAATACTATATAATGACCCCACCCTGCCGATATGAATTTGATAACTGATATGATAATTTGATATTGATATTTGATAACTGATATAAAATAATTTCCCATCATGTTTGATATGTTACATTTTATTAGGGAGGGCAAAGCTTAAACTTAATGCAAAACATGTAAGTTGTGTTTTTTTGTATTTCTTTGTTAAGAAATTGATACACTTTAAATGTCATCTTGGTGTTAGGATTACATAATAGGATATTCTAGATACTGTCATCTGGGTTGATAAGAAAAATCTTTAATTTAGCTAGTAGCCACTATTGATTTGAAGTGTGTAATTAACTTTAAAGTTTTTTATTACCTCCATGAAAAATGGAGGTATTGTTTTTGGCGTGTCTGTATGTCTGTGTGTGTCTCTGTCTCTGTCTGTGTGTGTTTCCACAACTCTGTAGTCAGCATAACTTCAGAACACCTTTATGGATTGTGATGATATTTGGTATGATGGTAAGTCATGAAAAGACAAAGGTCAGTGTCAAGTATGGGTCTCCTGGTAGATGACCTTGGTACTGCGGCAGAACTTCCGGTTTTTGTATCTTTTGTTCTGAACAAGCTATGGTCTTGACTTTTGGGTGACAGATAGCTTATTCTGTCAGAAATTAGTGGCGTAAGTTTGGTTCCCCTAGCAGCTTGTTCTGGAACTACAGGTTAGTTTCTGGTAAAAACTTTCAAAGCCAATAAGTCCAGATTGGAACAACGTATTTTCATCATTTTTGGTGTGTAGGTACCTGAGAGACAGTTGTACATGATTAAATGCAAATTATGCAAATGAGGACTTAATTATAATAATAATTGATGAGGAAATTCTATAATTACAGTGGTTCATATAATGGTACTGCTATACATGTAATCTAAAATCTGTGGAAGGCGGAACATCAACAGATACCAATTATGCAAATTGTGACCTAATTTGTATAATTAATGTGAACATTTTATGACTCCTTATTGGTGAATAATGGGACTTTTATACCTCGTGACATGTATAAGTTCCTTAAAGGTTAGCACCACTATGCATATATTATGTTAATGTAGAGGTTATTTGCATAATTATGAGGACATGTTGAAATGAAGTATGAGAAAGCAAGCCCATATTTCATGGAGGTATGAGATCTCAGAACTCTTGTTTTCAAGTTTGTGATCATTTTATATTATATAGATAGCTAAGCTACATAGATTAGGATACACATGCATGTTATCAACATATATAGCAACATTTAAATATACATAACCCTTTGGCTCAATGCCTGTTTTTCGTTTAGGGTACGAAGTTATTTTTTAATTTACGAATCCTTTATTTGCACGTAAGATTTGCAGTCAAATAATACCTATACATATGGCATTGTCTACAGTAAACTCATCAAGAAATATTCGTTTTTAAACATATAACAATATCCCATTGCATTACTGTAGTTTTACTTGCAAATTGTAAACTTTCAATATGATATTAATATGTTATTTTAATGATTGTTTTTCAATTCTACGTATAACCAAGAATAATCTCGTGAGAGGATAACGATAATGTGTTTCCATATTTGATACAATCAAGTTTTTCTAATTCTAACCATATAGTTTTTACAATATTGCATTTAGAAAAAAAATGTTTAACATAGTGCAAAAGAGTTACGAAACAAGCACCTGTCGTTCTCTGAAATACCCTGTTCATGTTATTTAACCCTAGTCGGGTAGACATTCTGTAGCAATGTAGTGTCTAAATCGTAGGATCCTTTATTACCCAAAAAAAATCATATTATCTTCCAGGGAGCGGTTTAGGAATCAAAAAAGCTGTAAATGTTTTCCAATAAAAGTTGCCAAGTTGGCGTGACTGTTTTCTGCGAAAGTACGATGATTTCGAAAAATGAATTAGTCTAAACACAAAATTCTTATCAATGTAGTTTTATCTAAGGCACTTTGCTTTCTATATGAGGGACACTTCACCATTTGGGAGAAATCGCATTAAAAAAAGATATTGTATTGAAACAATAAACACGGATAAATCCCAACAAAATTTTAATGTCACTTTTACTGACATAAAGAGCCATTGGTTATCTACGATATCATTAATATACAAAATATATTTCTATATTTACTAAAGTATAACATTATACCTTAGGTGATACATTTATTATTCGACTAGTGATCTAACCAGAAGTTAACTTAGTTAACTTTCTTGATGTCGTATTTTGTAAATGTTTATTTTATCATTCTTTAACAATAAATAAAGTTGAAGGTGTACAGATTATCAACATGCTGTCTTGTCATCTTTGTCAGAATGAAAACTAACTCAGATAAAAATAAAATAATGTTTCCCGTAGAAAAACATCTTATTACCTTATGTTATCTCCAATTGAATGTTGCAACGTGCTCAATATGTGGCTTTTAAACATTGGGCTTTAGGATTGCACATAGATCATATTTTCAACGACCATTGTCACCTTAATCAGGATAATAAATGACCAATCACTTTAAAATGTAATCTCGCGAGAGTTACGGTTACGGACACACGAAATCACGTGTGTGTAACTGTAGGTTACGTGAGCACGTCGGCGAAACGTTCTGCGCCTGCTCAAAACCCCAATTTTTTTATGGTTTTTGTTGGACTTTTGGTAAACTCCAAAGAGAATTGTCTACTTACAAACTGGACAGACACATGGATATCGGATAGGGTAGTCATGCCCACTCAACTGCTCACAAGAAGTGGCGACGACGAATAAAAATGAGTTGGGGGGGGGTAGGTAGGTAGGGGTTTAGAAGTGAGGACCAATACGATTCACCGTACTAGGTCGTAAAGAGATTCTAAAATATCCTAATTCAAATTATATGGGTTCAAATATCTCCTTTGGGGTTTGTCCATTAACATTGTGTCCTGCTACCTCAAGGTAATGCAGCACACAGTATTTGTGGGCGAACCCCGTAGTCAAAAGTAGTACGGGCACAAAGTAGGTCGGCAAATACTTGAGACAGGCGCAACGATTCTTGTGTACGACAGCGAGGCGGCTACTAGTGGTACAGGGTGGAGAAATACGTCAGATTTGAGACTTTAAAGGTTGAAATTTGATCTTTGTTCGGTTAGCGTAGATTTGCGCCTTGATACTGTCACACCCTAGTGCTGTGCGCTTGCTGCAGTTCCATGACCTTCCGCATTGCGGTTTTAAAAGATTGCGTCACGAGTGACCTAGCCGAAAAGTTTAGCCCATTTTGACATATTTTGTACATTATACCTTGAACTCAAGCATATTCAAGTTCTGTACCTAACGTTTGCACCTTACTATGTTTTTTTACCGCGTCGAAGTAGGTCACTTTGGGGTGTTAACTATAGAAATCCCCCGGAAACTGTGTCCTGCTTACCCTTTGCTGTCATTTTCTCGCCGCCATTTCGATGTGTCGCAGGAATCAAATCTTGTCCTACCAACTGCCAACAGCTTTTTCCCTTGTAAAATTAATCAGATACGCATAAACGACTATGTATTATAATAATGATAGTTGAGAAACACTAGGAAAACCCTCCACAGTATGGATGGTTGGTAGATCTTAGCTCGTTAGTCTGAAAACAGTCTGGAAGCAGACTCACATATAGAAATCTGTATATTTCGTGGTGAGGCAAACCTACTCCCAAATCAACTACTTTTATTGCACTTTTTTCGCAGTGGTTTTATTTAGTGGTATAAGAAAAAAGTTTATAGGTCGTATTTCTTATCAAAAAGGTTACTAATAGATAGTATAGCAGAAATACGAAGCACCATGGTGTTATTAAACCACCAGAAGCATTTAACAACTTACAGTAATTCGATAAATTAACAATTTTTTTTTCACTTCCGATATGGAAGCTGTCTACTTTACTGCGTTTTTACATCACTTTTGTGCCTTTAAATATTATTATGATTCTGTATTTACTATTCATTTATTCTGCAATACGCTGTCACGACATTTTTTCAAAAGAAACCTAAGAAATGATAATCAAACTAAGGTCTTTTTTAGATTTTCAAAACATCTAACAACTGGCAAACAGCTATTGGACCATGGATAGTCCTTATATGGTTATAGGCACTGCTTGGGTGTTGAATATTAAATGTTACGTCACGCTACCAGCAGTTCTTAATCTACTTATTAGTCTACCACACCACAACCAGAGCTGACTGCACTGATTTTTTTTAAAGTAAAGGATTTGTCAGTAACGTTTAAAGACTGAGACGGACCCAGTTTATTCCAAGCAAGGTGGTCACTGACAAGTGTACGTTATAAAATCACCAATGGTAAGTGATGACGCTTATTTCTTTAAACAATGTGCCTTATATGTCCATTATTTCAATAAATGCTTGGGGAAACTGATCTTGCGTTTCTGGTGATTTGGGGAGGTTTTAGAACAAGCAGAGGAATATGATATGAGAATGATATGAGAGCATGTATCTGTTTGTTTTGTACGTCCAGTACCGAACAATGAGCTTCATTTTTTTTCATTTGGACTTTAACTGAAACATTAGGTCCGGTTCTGATTTTGGCCAGGATACCGGTACACACCACTATGTCACATTGAAAATGTTATGTCTCTCGTCGGCGGTCGACAACCCAAAAAGGGGGTTGCTTGCTAGGGTCGGTCGAATAATTACAACGCGAGATTTTATCTTACCTAGGCATACTACAGACATGGTTAACATTATTTCTATGTACAATTCTTTATTATGAAGCAAGTTTAAACTGTAATTTCCAACACAAGAAAATGGACCCACCCAAATTTTCGACTGTACAACTCCAGATCTTTCTCAAGTAAGGAATTTTAAGGAAGGAATTTCATACCTTGATAAAGGCTGGAGTTGTACAGTCGAAAATTTGGGTGAGTCCATTTTCTTGTGTTGGAAATTACAGTTTAAACATTCTTCTTAATGACCTCTACCAACACAGATGAACTGTCAACAGATACAATACTTTATGTTAATTTTAAATCTTGAACTTTGCATATTGTTTGTACAGAAACAATGTTTGTACGGCAATAGCATAACATAAGAGAGTTTTACAATCTTCAGCTACCTTCACCAAATCATGCTAACGAGTACGACTGACGACTTTTAGTTGATCATATTGACTTACTTAGACTTAGGGGCTCCCGCGTCTCGTGACGCATGAGCCAGTCAAAGTAGCCCAGCTTCCTCTGTCAGCAGCCAGCCTCAAGGCTTCCTTCCAGCTCATGCTGACTGCCTGAAGGTCCCTCTCCACTGTCTGTCGCCAGTTTATCTTTGGGCGCCCCCTCCTTCTCCGTCCTCCTGGGCACCACTGTAGAACATGGTTGGCGAGTCTAGTTGGTGGTAGTCTGACAGCGTGTCCGAACCAGCTGAGCCGGCGTTTGCAAATGATGGAGGACACTGGTTGTTGCCTAGTTTGAAGTCTGATGTTATTATTCGAGATAAAGTCATCCCATCTTAATGCCCAGGATTTTCTTTCGATCATATTGTCTTAACTATTATTAAGTTATATAAAAAAACGGTCAACTTCATTAAACCCTATGGATTTATATAGAATCTTTGTCTACTTTTGGTAACCAATATAGAAAAGTATAGATGGGCCGTCATCCTAAAATACGCAAATACAAT